CCCCGCCGAGCCGGGGCTCCGGGAGGGAGCGGGGCCCGTGCTCGCTGGCCGGCGAGCCAGCGCTGACCTGCGGGCGGTGGGGAGGCGGGAGCCGTGTTTGACGAGGGGAAAGCCTCGTGTTTCCGGGACAGATAGCACCAAATCGGTTCCAACCTGTCCCCGAGTTTCGCCAGCCGCTTTTGGCGGTTGTGAGGAGAAGAGATCAGAGTAAACAGCGCAAACTGAACTTACTGCCCTTTGGAGTTTAAGGTTTGGGGCTTCAGGTGTTTTTGCTTTGTTTTGTTTTGTTGCTTAATGGCTGTGTGAGCAGTGTATGAGTTTTAATTAGCTGGGTGTACCGAGTGTTTGGTCACTTTATGCACGTTTCCTTGCAGCTGCAGCATGGCAGAAGCCTCTGCCTCTCCACTGAAGCACTTTGTGCTGGCCAAAAAGACCATCACTGCCATCTTTGACCAGCTGCTGGACTATGTCACTGAGGGAGCAGCGTTTGTGGAAGGTGAGCTTTCCTCTTAAACATGAGGGCCTTATCTTTTGTTTTGAGTATGTTTTACACCAGCATAATGTTCCTTATGTTATCTGTTACTGTGCTGTTTGTATAAACATGCACCTTCAGAAATAGTGACATTTTTCATTTGACGCTGGAGTTTTTTTCAGCTTGTGTTAGAAGGAATGCCTGGCATGGCTACATACCTGAAAAGCTGATTAAGTCACTTGGATTGGCAGCCTGGTCTCCTTTCCATGAGGGTGAAAGTTTCACCACCCTGGCCCTATAGTTCTGTGGTGGTTTGTTTTGCATAGAAGGAAGGACAAACAGGTTCTCCCATTTTTGCAGCAGAAAGATGCATCGGTGATGCAATGCAGGGAACTGGTCACACCCTCAGAGGTTTTAGCAGTGTGGAACCTGTGTGGCCACACAGAGTTTGTTGCTCATCATCCCAGTGAGCTCTGCAGGGGGAGGACAGCTCAGCTTAGCTTGTGTATCCATGAGAGGTCCTGACTTTCCTCTCTGAAGGAAAGATGTCCCAAGGAACTGGGCAAGTGAGCCCATCAGGCTGTCTTCACAGGGTTAGTGGATCAGTGGTTGGATTGGCAATTGATCTGAAGTGATTTATGCTGTGATTTCACCAGTGTTTATGGCAGGGCTAGCAAATGATAAGGGCTGGTATCAGCGTCTGTAGTGTGGTTTTGCTTGTTTTGTTCAACCACTGTAATTAAAATCTGCAGTTAGCATGTTAAGTACTGCTTACACCTTGTATCACAGAACACATTCTCTATATGTGATTGATTTTATATTTTTTCTTTCTGTGTGTAGCCACATACAAGAACCCAGAGCTTGATCATGTAGCAACAGAAGATGAACTAGCAAAAATACAAGCATATAAAAACAAGTTGGCAGTCATTAGAGAGGTGCTCTCACGGAGGCACATGAAAGTGGCATTTTTTGGCAGGTAATGAATGAAATTATTAGTTCTTAATTTCTTTTTTTTTATTTTTTTTTTTTTTTTTTACTTGGGAAGGCCGGAGGTTGTCCTGTTCTCCAGAATGTTTTTTTTTTTTAAAAAAATGGTGGGTTTTGTTTGCTTGTTTTATATATATATATATATATATTTGCTCTGGACTGTTCCTGCTGAGGACATTTTTTTTTGTATTTGATCAGAAGTGCTGAAGAGCTAAACTTGGAGATTTTCATGATTCTGTCTATAAGCAGCTGAAGAGAAACAGAGATGGTTCCCTGGTTGGTTGTAACATCAGTCTGATAGATCTGTGTGATGATTTTAAGGATAGCTGTAACAATTTGGTCTGCTAGTCCACTTTGCTTCAGGGAGATTGATTTTTCTGGGCTTATATTTAAATATGTGGTTACATATTTTTGGAGTGTGAATTTTTATGATTCTAAAAATTCTGTAGTAGTGTTGGAAAAAACATGTACAACGGTGGTCTTGCCTTCATTTTGCTAAAAGTAGTTTTGTTATTTAAAGAAAAACTATAAAAAGTTCTGGAATAAAGAAATTAATTATATCTCAGCCTTGATATTTCAAGAAGTTAAAAGCTGAATACATGCTGTGATGTGTGATAAAAGTTTTCCTTTTGCTAAGGGGAAAAGTTCTGAGCAGGAAAAAGAGAACTTAACTCTCCCTCTGCCATTTTGAATAAATTTGTGAACTATTGTACAGTGAGCACTTAACTTTTTCTGGAAGTCGCTCAAAAACGAGTTACAGTCTATGTAACTTATTGCTGTTGTGTAATAGTTGAACCTCAAATATTTATAGGTGAGGGGTAGAGGGTTAGTGCAAAGTAGGACACCAGTGAGGGCTTCAAGTTTTTGCAGAAGCTGGAGCTGGTGACCAGTTCCTCTAAATAAACACTCCCCACTTCCTGCTGGCTGGAACTCTGTACCCAAACCTGCTTGTGCTCTGTGGGGCTGATGCATTCCAATGGGGGTGCACTCAGTTCAGCACAAAGGTGTGCTTAATTCTGCTGTGCTCTGCTCAAAGTGCTTTTCTTTTCTATCCCTCTAGAACAAGCAGTGGGAAAAGTTCAGTCATTAATGCAATGCTGTGGGATAAGGTACTTCCCAGTGGGATTGGCCATACGACAAACTGCTTCCTCAGTGTGGAAGGGACTGATGGAGATAAGGCTTATCTTATGACAGAAGGATCAGATGAAAAGAAGAGTGTCAAGGTACATTTCTTGGCTGATTTCATGCTAATTTTCACAGGAACTGATTCTTAAAGTGTCTCTTTTAACAGTTTCAGATCCAACAAAAGTATAAGGCTCACTCATTCTGGATTTTTAAGTTCTTATTTAGGAGGGAAGAACAAACTAATTAAAGTGCTCTGCTCCACAGTTTTTCTTGGTTGTTCTAGAGAAACAACTAATGCGTGTCTCATTGTAGCATAGCACGTGTTGAGTGATTTATTCTTATAGGACTAAGTAAGTCCTGTTACTGATTAAGAGTTTGGAATGTGCCCTTCATTTGGGCTTATGGTGCTCATCTTATTGAACTGCTTATGCTGATATGTTAAACCTCTGAAGCAAATTCATCATGACGCTCAGTAGCACATAGTCCAGCCCTGTAGGGAACATTGGTGGCTCAAAAGAAACTCTTGTCTGAGTTTCAAAGCACAACTTGTTCTTTAGATGCTGGCGAGTTGAAGAGCTTAAAAAAAAATCACAGCTATTCACCAGAACAAAGTATGAACTCTGTTACCCTCTTCAAGACAGATCCTGTCCAAGTTTGCTTGAGAACTGAATTAGACTGGTTTACAGACTTGTTTGAGGTACATATTCATGTCTGTCTTCTCTTTAATGCTCTCTCTAGACAGTCAATCAGCTGGCTCACGCACTTCACATGGATAAAGATTTGAAGGCTGGCTGTCTGGTCCATGTCTTTTGGCCCAAGTCAAAGTGTGCCCTGCTGAGAGATGATTTGGTTTTAGTGGACAGGTATCTTTTCTGTTCTAGTAAATATTTTCTTAAGGATATTAGCCATTACAATGTTTAGAAAACAGATTGGTTTAGATTCAAAATTCTTGAAAGTCTTTTTTGTATGAAAGGATAGAGTTTGTTCTTTTGTATGTATTACTTGTCATCATCCTCCTGATTCTGCCCTTGTAGCAATTGGAACAGACAAGTGTCTTGTGACTGAGCTGAAAACGGGAATAGCTTTTGGCTGAGGATACTCTACCTTTAAAACAAAACAAACAGTATGGAAGTGTGAATAAGGTTGTTGACCTTTTGCCCACTTCCTTTCTTGAAACGCTTCAGGCTGATTATGTGAAGTATGAACAATGTGGACTTCATTTTTAAAAGCTTCTGATAAGAGTTGCAGTGCCTACATACCAAAGTGACCTCAAAATGCAGTTGTGACTATGTCCAACTGTGTGTGGCCTGTGTTAGGCTGGCATTTCCTATGTGTTGATGTGTTTGAAGAATTCTGGACGTGTTAGCTTTGTCCATGCCAAGTGCCCTTATTTCTGGCCACTGCATTATAACCTCTTAGCAGCTTTTCAGACCTTCAGCTGATCTGTACCTGACATGTAAATCAATAAATACGGAATTTGAGAGTAATTCACACAGGTGTCAGTGAATTTTTAAGTATGATTTCTTCAAGAAAAAGACATTCAGAGTGTATTCTAATAAATTGCAGTGGTTTTTGTTCTGTCTCTGTCTTGTACTTTGAAATCACTGGGAGTTTGTTACTATTTTCTTTGGTGCATGATCTTGGATTTGCACAGATTGCTAAAGGTGAAAAGTAAAGGGAAAAGAAAAGAGCATATATTCTGAGAGAGCAGGTACTTGAAAAGAGTAAATCATCCTTTTACTGTTAAATTGAGAAAAATTGAACCAGCAGTAATTTAGGTGTTGCAAATATGACTTAATACCCATATGCCAATTAATGTTTTTGTTTTTTTAAATGGATAGCACTATGGTTTTACTTCATTTTGGCTTCTTCCTAAATCTATGC